TGAGTGCCTCTGGCTTCAGAGTGCTTGGGTTTCTTCAGGACTGCTGCTGTGCAGTTACTTACCTACTCAGGCTTTGGCTCTTGCAGAGGACTCGTACAGGCAGCCGTACCGTGACGACCAGTACCCCATAGTGAGGTACCTACAGCAGCCCATCTTCATGGAAGTGCAGGTCCTGAACCGCAATGACCCCAATCTCCATCTCCAGCTGGATGACTGTTGGGCAACAGCATCAGAAGATCCAAGCTCGCTTCCACAGTGGAATATTGTTGTTGATGGGTGAGTGCCCTGCTGGGGCACGCTGCCCTGCTGGCTGCAGGGTTTGGCTGCTTCTCCCCTCACCCCTTTGCTCTGCATTCCCAATCAGAGGCATGGGGCAACAGGCCCTGCGTTGGGAGACACTGCCAGGTGCTGCTGCCTGGTGTCACCTGTGGAGGTGTCCTGGAATTTGCAGGATGGCAACTCTGTTTTGAATTGTAGCTGCAGCTGGAAGCGGAGCAGCCTGGACTATAGGGAGGTGTCCTCCCCATAGTGGGGGGGTGTTGGAAATAGATGGTCTTAGAGGTCCCATCCAACCCCAGCCATTCTATGGCTCTTCGGCCTCTGCCCTACCATCAGCAGGCTGCTGCTTCCCCCCCTGCAGGTGTGAATATGACCAGGACAGCTACAGGACTGCGTTCCATCCTGTGGGCCGTGGTGTCAGCTATCCCAACTATCGCCAAAGGCTGGAAGTGAAGGCTTTTGCTTTCGTGTCTGGTGACAAAGCCCTCCCTAGCCTAGTGAGTGCTACTTAATGCTTACTCTGCTCAGCAGGACTGCCTGTTTCCTGTAAGTGAGCGGCCACATGCGTTCTGTGTCCAGGTGTACTTCCACTGCAGCGTCCTCCTCTGTAACCGCTTCCAGCCAGACTCCCCTCTGTGCTCAGTGAGGTGCCCCAGGCTGCCCAGAAGCAAGCGAGGTAAAGCCCTGTGGGCTCTGTGCTGTGGCGGTGCAGCACACAGCACTGCGCTGCTCACTGCTCTCTCCCACACGTTGTTGTTGCAGGCAGCGGGATGCCGGGCGCCAGCTCCACGGTGAGCCTGCAGGGCCCTGTGCTCCTGGTGCCCCACAGATGGGCGGCAGCACGAGGTGAGCAGTGGTGCTGCTGTGCGCTGTCCGGCTGTGGGGGGGGGGCAGCCCCTCAGCGTGGTGCTTTTCTGCTCCCTTTGCAGGGGATGCTCTGCTGAGCCGGGCAACGTGGGCTGCGGTGACTGTGGCTGCTGCTGGTGTCCTCTGTATGGCAGCCACAATGCTGCTACTTCAGGCTCTTCTTAAATGCCTGAAAAGAAGAGCCATGATGGTAAATGTGGTACACTAATGCACTTGTTAACAAACTTGGATTAAAAATGTGGCTTTTCAGGTAAGAGACGTAGCTCTGGAGTTGGTCGTGTACTTCCTTGGAGGTAAACACAGGTGCCTTCGTGAATGGAGGCTGTCCTGCCCAGGTCTCCGAGCAGAGGAACCAAGCTGAAAACAGAAGAGAAGCCCCACAAAGCTTCAGGGCCACCTGAGACTCAGTGGAGGCTATGACTGTTTCCTTGCGTCAGGAAAGCCACGACTGCTAGAAAACAGCCGTGTGAAAGCAGCCCCTCTTCAGCTGCTCCTGCCCTTCCTTCGGAGAAGGGCTGAGCTGCTGCTTCGAGGTCAGCTCCGAGCACTGCGGCGTTCAGGGCTCCCCGTGCTGCTCTGTAGCGCGGTCGCTCCGTCGGCTTCAGAGCTGCGGAGCTCAGCAGTGCGATGCTGAACCGGTGCTGCTCGGCCGAGCAGCGCCTTCCGAAGGGCGAGGTGTGGAAATGCACGGCCAGTGTGAGCCGGGAACTGAAACCCAGCGGCGCAGGGTGGTGGGGCTGCGAAGAGTCCCTTTGAAAGAGGTGGGCTGAGGGGAGAAGGATGCCAGCGAGACGAAGAAGGCACGTATGTGACAGGAGAAGCAATACGTGAGTGGAAATGCAGTGGTGTTCTCATCTGGAAGAGAAACTGCACCCCCTCTTCCCTCCTTCCCTGTTTAAAGAGCATTTTTAGAAGGAAGCTTGTGGCAGTGGATGCTGTTAGCTCCTCAATAGTTCTGCTAATGCATTGCACACCTCAGTGCTAAGACTGCAGGAGGTACCTGCTGTCCCTTAGGGTGCTGCTTGGATTATTATACCACCTTGCCCTCAAATAAGGCTTCAGAGAATGAGTGGGAAGCTCTTCCTCTCTCTGAGAAAATGCTCCTCAAATAGAAGCAAATGAAACTGGAGGTAGATCCAGTTTTAATCCAGGTTAAGTGTGGCTTGCAGGCAGCCCATCAGGTCAAAGTGCTCTTTCTCCTGCAAGCAAAGAAGGGAGAGCGCAAGTGCTGCCTCTGTTTGGTGCCTCATCTGAAGGTGCTGCCTTCGCTGGGCTGTGTCTCTGTGTGGCTGCTCGTGCCCTATATGCAGCAGCTGCTGCCCACCCTTCTGGAAGCTGGCAGAGGCAGAACTAACTGAATGTGCTACAGCACTTCCTGAGCCTGCTGTGTGAGCAAGGTCAGGCTGAGAGTAGTGCTTTTGTACAGTATCATTGCTTTCACTTTTGATACCAATGCTCTAATTTGAGAATAAACTCCTGCCTCTGGAAGTCACAGGTGGAGAATGTCAGCTCTAGCAATTGCCTTTCCCCACTAAACCAAATGGTGATGGTCCCAATGGCTTTGGGTTAATGAGATTCATCTTAAAACTGAGTGTTTGGTTTGTATTTGCTTTTAATCCAATGATAGACCAGATAGCAGAGCAAAAGCACTGCTCAGTGCTACAAGCCACTCCAGAATATCCTATGTTCCAGCATCTGAAGGAATGCTGTGATGCACGTCCTCCTGCCCTGCGAGCAGAGCCCAGAAGTGCTTGTATGGGCAGCTGGATAGAAAAGGTGTGCAGAGCTCTGTTGGGCAAGAAGTAGTGAAGCTTTTCTATAAGCTAAGCTTGTTTTTTAATGTCACCACAGAATTATCCATTGCTGGTTTCAGCTTCTTGTAAGGGGTGGAGCAGTACTGTGTGGGATGGGGTCAGCGGGCACCTCTGATGCTGCCACAGCTGGGGGGCAGAAGGGGAGGAATGGGGCTCAGCTCCCACTGCCACCACTTCACGATAAGCATTACTGATGAGCTGACTGTAATTCCTAAAGGAGTTCAGGGCAGGTGCTCACAGTGTTACATTCCTCAATGGATGATAATTAAGGCTGGCTTGAGCAGGGTTCCTTTTACCCTGACCTCCATCAGTGGATGGTCCCAAGGACCTGGCAGTGCCTGGGAGGTGCCCCAGCCAGGGGGCTGCAGAGATGCTGGGTGCAGCCTGCTGTGGTGCAGGAGAGCTCACAGGAGGAGCCCGCATACAGGCACTGAGTTAGCTCCTGCTGAGGGTGTGCCTGGTAGGTATTCTGGCTTCCGACAGAAGGCAGACACAGGCGGTAATGGATTTCTGAGGCCCGCTCCACTAACTGCTCCACATAACCCACCTGTGCCTATAGGCACTCAATATTTAGGAGGAAATGGGGGAGGTCATGTATGGTCTTGTTATGAGAATTGGAGCTCAAGAGGCTCCTGGGCTGCTTGCTGTTCCTGGGGCAGGAAGGCTGATTCAGTGTTTAGCATGGCTGTGTCAGTGGTGCTGAGAAGGGCCTAAAGGGGAAGCTGTGGGTGGGGGGAACACACCATCACAAGGGCGCTGAGTTAAGGCAGATAAGCGTCGGACTCCCATAATCCTAAAAGTTACAAACTGCATCTGGCAGTGTGTGGAAACTGGCTGCTGGCAAGCTGTAGCATCGCTGCTGAGGGAGGATTATGACTGCAGCAATAATAAACTCCCAGCCAACCCAGAGCTCATGTGGGATTTGCTGCTCCATGTGGATGTGTGTAAGTCCATGGGGTCCATCCTAGGGTGCTCAGAGCTGGCCAAAGGCAGGCCCAGATCTCTGAGTTGTCTGTCACTGGGGATCTGGAGAGGTGCCAGCTGACTGCCAGCCGGAGGAAAGCCTCAGTAGCTGCAGGCCTGTTGGACTCACCTCAGTGCTTGGAAAAAGGATGGAGAAAATTACCTCGGCAGGTTCTGAAGAACACCTGAAGGACAGTGCTGTCATTGGCTGCAGCCTACATGGGTTCTGTGGGGAGATAGTCTTTAAATGAATCTTCCTTTCATGGTAAGGTCACCTATCCTGTTGATGAAGGGAAGCCAGCTGCTGGGATCTGGGATCTCAGTAAAGCTTTCCAGCCTGTATCCTTCTGGATGAGCTGCCCAGCACACAGCCCAGAATGTAACACAAGGGGTCAGGCCCCTGGGGTTCTGGTACGTGGGGACAGCTCAGGGGGCAAGGCACTACTGTGGGTCTACAGGGCTCCATTTTAGGGCTGGTTCTGTTGAACACTTTCATCCACGTCTTTGATGGAGCACTGAGGCGCTCTCAGTGAGCCTGCTGCCAAGTGGAGAGGAGCTGTTGGCTCCATGGAGGACAGAGAGGCCTTGCAGAGCCAGGCAACCACCAACGCAGGGAGTGTGACAAGTGGTGCTGGGTTCTGCACTGGGACAGCCAGCCCTGGTGGCACAGCAGCCTGGGCCAAGGGATGCTGCAGAGCAGCCCCACTGCTGGGGGCTGGGGTTTGGCTGCTGCAGATGTTACCTTCCAGTAATGATAGCAAAGAACTCTGCATGTGTACTCAAAGGTGTCTTTGTTCCATCTTCTAGACAGAGTTCTCCACCCCTACGTTATGTGAACAGTACCACAGCCCTATCTTTTCTTACAGAGAAATTTGGGAACGCACACCTCAGTTTTGTTTTTGTCTTCCTCTTACCAGCAGGAACTTCATGGAACATCCTGTGTGGGATAAAGTTTTGAAAGATCCACAATAAATATTTTATTGAACAAGTGTGCTCCTGCGTGAAAGGAAAACCCTTAAGGAAGCTGTGAGGGAAGCTCCTTAGTTGAGAATAAATAAGAATAATGAGACAACCTGGTTAAACAAACAGCACTTTATTAAACTCATACAGTTAGATAATGCTTAGAAATATGACAGCACTTTCAAAAATGGAAAAAGTTTTAAACAAAGTGAAAGGTTACAACTGAGAAGCAAAACAGGCCATTTAAGCACCCGGAGCAGGACAGAACAGAAGGGTGGACTGCATACAGCTGCTGTGAGGTGGCAGTGAGTGCAGGAAAACATCCCTTCAGCTGTACAGGTGTGTAAAAGCTTATAGCACAACTAAGGCGTGATGACACCTGCTTTCTTCTCACTACGCGCAGCATTAGTGTGGTATGCTCACAGTGTCTTAACATGGGCTGTAAGCACTTAGAAATTACTTTTTCACCCTTCAAAAGCATTTCTGATGTTCTGGGCTCTAACACTTACGTATAAAACAGCCAAACTGCTGCATACAAATTGCAAAAAATAGTACATCCAGAACTCCAGTAACAAAGGCAAACACTGCCTACCCTTTCTATCACCCGACTGCCACCAACTCTGCTGTTACTGCTGCATCCCTCTACCAAACTCTGCAGAACATTCCCTTGTTCATGCAGTGTCACAGTGTGCTGCTCGGTGGGTGCTCCACCACAGTGACAACACACGATGCTCTTTCAGCCCCCAAATGAAGTGCACTGAGGTTGTATGCTCAACAAGTAAACGAACACATTGCAAAGGACAGACCTGCACAGCGGAGTGTATGAAGGAGATGGGCAGAACCACTTATTTGTTCTTTCGTTTGTTGTCAGAGAAGTCCATGACAGACAGACTCTTTTGTGGAGAGCTTCCATTAACATCCTGCTTCCTCGCCTGGCTCCTGCACAGGAGAAAAGAACAGCTTTATGCCTGCTCTCCCCTAAGGCTGCTGTCTAACTTTCTGCCAGAGCAGCTGAGCAGCTTGAGATGTAAGCCTGAGACTTCTGAACATCCGCTGCTGCTCTGTCTGCCACAGCCCTCTGAGCAGGCACAGAGCACAAAAGGAGCGATCTGCCAGTCCTCTTCAGCATCAAACCGTGATTTGCATGCGGGCTACCAGTACATCAGTGCATTCTACAGGAGAGAGAAATCCTTCCCGGACCTGGTGGGCAAAGCGATGGGCCTGGCAGCACGCCTTGCAGGACTGCGAAGCCCTGAGGAGTGCAGATACGCTGGGCTTTGCACCACAGTCTTCTCTTCCCGAAGTATGATATTCTCACAGGAAAATCTGTGAGTCCCTGAGAACTGTGCAGAAGGGCTGCTGTGATGAAGGACCAAGCTAAGAAAGTCTCAGAGGGATCGGCTGCGCTTTCTCTCCGCGCTCCTCCCCGTGCTCACGAGTGACCGTCAGCCTCCCTCGCTGCTAATCGCTGGCAGGCAGCAGGTGGCCCTCCAGCACAACCTGCCAGGGCCGCCCTGAGCCCAGCAGAGCACGGCTAAAACAAAGCTTCCCAAGCGGGCCTCCGAGCCCTGGGCTCCAGGAGCACGTGCAGACGTGCCCTGCAATCCAGCTCACGTGCAGCAGCCAGAAAAACGACTCGCTCCTACCGAAGCCACCCACGCTCCTCCCTTCATCAACTTGTGTCCTATTCCAAAGCTACATTTCTGTCCATTCCTCTACAAATGCAGGTAAGCTGAGATAGCTGGCTACTGTATTGTGCAGAAAGAACGCTGCTGCATCCTCTAGGCACGCTTGGAAGCATGCTTTGAGGATGTTTAAATCAGTATTAATTCTAAGATAGATTTTGATGTTACAGTGTTAGCATATGCACGTTTTTCAAGCTCAAAGGGAGGAGGTTTAGGCTGGACATCAGGAAGAAGTCTTTTACAGTGAAGGCGGTGAGGCCCTGGCACAGACTGCCCAGAGATGTGGTGGGTGCTTCATTGCTGGAGTCAGCCAAGGCCAGGCTGGGTGGGCTCTGAGCACCTGACGGAGCTGTGCGTGTCCCTGTTCATTGCAGGCAGGTGGATCAGATGGCCTTTAAAGGTCCCTTCCAACTCAAAGGATTCTATGATGGTAACTCTCACCAAAATCCAAACTGATGATGATGTGTTTAATGTTGAAGCACCAAAGCAGCCAAAGATGCCCCAGCACCCAAAAACCACCCATTAAACGAACCAGAAGTGGTTCACTGCTAAAATAAAGGAAGTAAGCAATGCAGCAGTGCAGGTGCAATTTGCAGTCAGGATGCAGATCAAAGCACGGGCTGTTACCTTGAGGCACACCAGTAGTTGACCAGAGCTGAAAGAACGATGTAACAAACACTCAGCACTCCAGAAACTCCCAGTGAAAGCGCGCCCAGGCCACAGAGCACACAGAGGAGGGCGATGCCCCCGATGGATATCACAACTCCTAATAAAACAAAATAGAGATTATCATTTAAACACATTTATATATAACTAAGTTAGAAAAGCAGATGTTCGACCACAACCCCAAAGTAAAAGCATTTGGGAAAATGGAATCAACAGCTGATGGGAGAACAGCCAAGAGCCTGCCGCTTGCAGGACAGCACTGGAGGGCAGAGTAACAATGTCTTCCATAAAAGACCAGAAACGAAAGCTGTGCATGGCCAAGATAACTGGTTTTGCTGCGATCAGGGGTTCAGATTAGAAAGGCAATTAGGATTTCCTCTCATACAGACTGCAGTTAATCAGATGACTGTTCTGAGGACTACACGCAGAAATCTTCAAACGCTTCAACTGGGAGGACTCCAAAAAGAAGAAGAGTAAGGAAAAGGTTTCGTGTCTGAAAAGGGAGTACGTAGATACAAGCATACAATACCTTCCATGACTATCACACCAACACAGGCCATTACGACTGTTGTAACAACAAAGATGAGGAAAAATGCCACAGGAATAGTAGACACTGCAATGAACATCAGGAGCGATAAGGCAACAAAAGGGTGGTCATCCAAGTACAGGCCAAGGCGGGAGTTCATAAACGCAACGACCTGTGGAGGGAAGGACAGTGCTTCAGCTTTCATCTCATCACAACTGCCAAGGTCACAGCTCTTCAGTGACAAACAGGGGAACAGCTTTTGTAAGTCTGCAGTCGTTCAGGTGGAAAACAAATTCCTCCTGTTAAAGCAGTTATACACTGTAATTTTTGTGTAGGAGAGACATTTATTTCTCCCTATGCAAATATGTATGTAGTTTATTTGTAGAGCAGCACAAGCATGTCACCAAAACGCCACTCTTCTGCCTGAAATGGCTACACTGGTAAGACAGAAATGCAGGACAGCGGTCCTTTCATCTTGACTGCTGAAGATATGGGAGGGCTGCCCTTCCCCTGCACTCCTGAGCTCAAGAAAGAGAGCCCCAAGTTTCCGAGTAAAGGAAAAAAAGCATCACTGAGATAAATGTGGGCACCGTTTCTCAAGACCTGTAAAGATCCTGGCTTCGGAAGTCACAGACAGTCCTCCCAATTCTCATGCAGACCTACGTTTGAGTTGCTGTGGATGGACTGCACGATGAAGTGCCATTGCTTCTGCAGCTCCTGCAGCTCTTTAGACATGCTGTGCCCCAAGTGCCGCCGCCAGCCCTCAGAGCCACCGACCTCCCCTGAGCCAAGGCCAGGCAGTGGCAGAGTCGTGCAGCTGTTTTCTGAAAACAAAGGAAAAGCTTTTGCCAAAACAGAGACTGTAGACTTTGTTTGTTAACGTCATTTCTAGCTTATAATGTTAGGTTTACAAAGGAAACCTAGCACACAGGCCCCAAAAGCTCTTCTGGAACTCCCAAGGGCAGAAATAAGTATCCAAGTGCCCCACCTTCTTCCTTACTGCCCTGATACCCCTAATTGAACAATGCCTGCTTGCACAAAACCAGCTAACAGTCAGCAGAACACTCTGGGTCTGACAGCAAGCAGAACATCCTTTCCCTGCTTAACAAGTCCCACACATCATTATTGTCCAGGTCAGCATGGGGGTCCTCTCCAGTACAGCACTCTAAATTGCAACTCCAAAAAAAAAAACAAACAAGAAGAGGGCAATGTGGGGTCATGAAGAGGAAGGCTGCTTACTTTGTATCTGAGGGTCTTGAGACCCCCACCCAAAACCAATGAGCACATGCAAGGAGGAGGGACTCTATGGGAATGGTTTTGGGGGGAGAACTGAATATGTTTGTACCCAGGAAACCTTTTGCATAGGTAATACCAGTGACGTGTCTCAGCTGAAGGGCTTCTGTTCAGTGGTGTGTGGTTAAGGCAGGCATCATAAATTAAGAATGCCTGCATCCTAACACCACATCGGGGCTGGTGAGGGCATTTCTGCATTGTGCCGACAGCCCCCGACCCATGAGAGCAGCTGGGGCTGTGCAGATGGAGAAGAGAAGGCTCTGAGCAGATCTGAAAGCAGCCTTCATGCCTAAATGGGAGCAACAGGAGAGAGGGAACAGACTCTTCAGCAGGGTCTCTGTGGGGACAGAGCAAGGGGAAACGGCTTCGAACTTAAACAGGGAGGTTTAGGTTGGACACCAAGAAGTCTTTTACAGTGAAGGTGGTGAGGTCCTGGCACAGACTGCCCAGAGATGTGGTGGGTGCTTCATTGCTGGAGACAGCCAAGGCCAGGTTGGATGGGCTCTGAGCACCTGATGGAGCTGTGCGTGTCCCTGTTCATTGCAGGCAGGTGGATCGGATGGCCTTTAAAGGTCCCTTCCAACTCCTGGTTCTCTGTAAGCCGGCTCTCCCTGCACAGCACACAACGCGCCCGCGCCTCCAAACGCGGACCGAGCGCAGCGCAGCCGGACAGCAGCGGCTCACAGCCGCCCCTCCGCCCCAAAACGCCATCTGTGCCGCGGCTGCCATCAGCCAAGGGACACCCAATGTCACGCTTTGCTTCTCTGAGTTCTAAATACGTAACCACGGCGTCAACGTTTTTTTTTTTTTTTAATTTTATATTAATTAATTAAGGTACGATTTTATCTACGCTTCCCTTACATCCGCATCCCCTGACACAGACCGTACCGAACGCCGAACTCGGCTGCCCGGTGCGCCGCCTCCTCCCATTCCGCGCAGCGCAGCGCAACCACGGCCAAAAACCCACAGCCAAAAGCCCACGGCCCAAAAACCCACGGCCCAAAAGCCCACGGCCCAAAAGCCCACGGCCCAAAAGCCCACGGCCCAAAAGCCCACGGCCAAAAGCCCACGGCCCAAAAACCCACGGCCCAAAAACCCACGGCCAAAAGCCCACGGCCCAAAAGCCCACGGCCCAAAAGCCCACGGCCCAAAAGCCCACGGCCCAAAAACCCACGGCCCAAAAACCCACGGCGGGACCCCAGCAACCTGCCGCCTCGCTCGGGCCGCCGCCCGCCAGGCCCCGCCGTGGGGCAGCACGGGGGCAGCGGGAAGGGCGGCTCTGCGCCCCGGCCCTGGGACCGGACCCCACGACCGGACCGCACGGCCCGACCTCACCGCCCGGCCGCGGTTCCGCCGCCCCCCGCTCACCTCCCGCCGGGCCGCGGCTCGCGTAGCGCTCGCCGTTGGAGCGCGGCGCCGCCCTCCGGCTGCTGCCTCCGCCCCTCGGGCCGGGCGCTCCGCGCGTGTCTGGCGCTTCTGTCGTTTTCTGCGCCCTCCCGCTTTGCCCGGCCCCCCCTCCCGTCCCCGCCGCCTCGGAGGGCGCTTCCGGGCTTCGTGCGGCTCTGCGAGCCGCGCGGCGAGTCCCGTCCCGTCGGCTCCTGCTTATTTTTATTTTTTTACGGCTGAAATTAAGGACGGAAAACGCCCGGGCCGCAGCCGCGCGGCTCCTCCCGCAGGGGCAGCGCCGGGACCGCCCAGACGCGGCTCCGAGCCCGGGCCCAGCCCGCGGGGGGCGGCGGTTCCGCGGTGCGGGCGGCTGCTCAGCGTGCTGGGACGCAGCCGGCACGGCGGGGAGTGCTGCCCGGCACCGCGTGCTGTCCTGAGCCGCCACGGCCGGGCCTGCAGCCGGTATCGGTGCCGGTATCCGTGCCGGTATCGGTGCCGGTATCCGTGCCGGTATCGGTGCCGATGCCGGTGTTGTTGCCGGGCTCGGAGCCGCGCCACCCTGCGCTGTGCCAGCCAGAGGTCGGCAAAATGTGCCTTGGCGTTTCTGCTTCCGTGACTGATTTTGCTTGGTGCCACCGTGGGAACGTTGGAAAGCCGAGTACGAAATGTGTCAGCGTTATTTTGTAATGGCAGCAAAGCGCACTGCGCATTTAATTTTCACACAGGGTTTTCGAAGCACTTTGTTTCCTTTTAGCACGCCAGGCTGCCCGCAGGCAGTGTGTGAGCGGTGCTGAGTTCACTGAGCTCTGCAGATACAAAGCAGTAAAGCAGAGATTTATGTTACTGTGAGCTCATCTGTGCGCTGCTGGTACAACACCAGGCCTCCATCGACAGTAGGCAACTTCAAGCCTAAAGAGGTTGGACACCAGGAAGAAGTCTTTTACAGTGAAGGTGGTGAGGCCCTGGCACAGACTGCCCAGAGATGTGGTGGGTGCTTCATTGCTGGAGACATCCAAGGCCAGGTTGGGTGGGCTCTGAGCACCTGATGGAGCTGTGCGTGTCCCTGTTCATTGCAGGCAGGTGGATCGGATGGCCTTTAAAGGTCCCTTCCAACTCGAAGGATTCTGTGATTCTGAATTTGTATGTATGCATATGTTAAGTGAACATAGCTAGCTGTAACATTGTAACATGGCAGCATGTCATCCAGTGATAATGCTGCCATGGGCTTTAATGGCTCATGGGGACACTGGAGTTGTGCACAAAGGAACAACCATCACCATAACTGTTGCTTAATTGAGCTTGTCTTCTTGCCAGCATTACCTTGAATTCGCAGAACAGCACCATGGAATTTGTACAGCTGTGACCCAGAGCAGTTGCACTGCCTCCTTCTCCAGCATTAGCAGTGCTGGTTCTGTGCCCTCCCTGCTGGCTTGTGCTCATGGAGCAGCTCATGGGGGGAGCTTCCATGTGTGGCCACAAAGCACTGTCTCCCACCTTGAGCAAACATCACATCCAAGGAAAGCAGTGCCGCTGTATGAAGGGCGCCTGCTGTTCTCGTGGTTTACAGGAAATGGGATGAATGGCACCTGAAAGTGTTGGTGAGGAGTTGTGGTCAGGATGGAAGGGTTGCTCGGTCGGGCAGAACGTGTGCGATGCCTCACCAAGGGCTGGCGAAAGGAAACCGCTCTGCATTTCCTGCTGGGCTGCAACAGCTCCGTCTGCTGAAACTGGAAGGATGCTTTTTCTTGGGACGTGCTGACGGTTGTGGATGGAAGACAAATCCACACAGACTGGTGTGGGAATGCAAGTGTCTCGTTGGCTTTGAATCTCTGGGGAGTTTGGCTCTGAATGATTAAAAATTAGATAGTTTTCATACAATTGCTGGAGTACCTGGGATGCACTGGGGCTTTTTGTAGCTTTCAGAGGCGAGGCAGACCCGTGCATTTGCTCATTGATTCCAGAACTGAGTCTCCATAGCTACAGCTTGGCACAACACAGCAGGGCTGGCTGTGCAGCTCTGCAGAGAAGGGAGGAGGAGGACAGCACCGGCTGTGCTGGGGCTGCAGCGGTGAAGGTGAGCACTGGAAAGCAGAGTGCCAGAAATCCCTGAGCTGGAATGGGTCTGCTGAGCACAGGGCAGGCGACGAGGGGCTCACGCGCTCAGTGGAGGCATGAGGCCTGCTGCCATACACCTTTCTCTTTTACCCTTTGCTTTGACACGTGTTTGCTTCTCGTGGTATTTAATGTGTGGAAACGTCTGCTGTTAACCACCGTTAGGGGCCTGGAGGCACTGGTGGCAAAGATGGAGCGGCGGGGAGGAGCCTGGGTTTGGGGGAGGTGGGGGCGGGGGTTGGTGTGAAAATCTGGCCTGACAGATGGCTGGAGAGAGTTAGAAAGCTTGAGGTGAAAAGTGCTTGGGGAGGACAAGAAGGAAAAGGCAGCGCGTGGTCTGGGAGGAGAGGGGTGTGGAGCGCGTTGTTGGGCGAGGAGGCTGATTGCTTTGGCGTCCTTTGTTCCCAAAGGGTCCTCTCGTTTTTGTTTGTTTGTTTTCAGTGCATGTGCTGATCTGAGCAGGAGGAGGACCAAAAAATTCTCAGGAACCAAAGTAGAGATGAAAGACGAAGCAGCATGAAGCCAGCACAGAGGGTGAGTTCTTTCTGCAGGGGCTACGGACACTCGTGTGGTTTTCAGATTGGCTGTTACGTGTGGCTGATGGCACGTCACTGAGAAGGACTCCGTTTGAAGGCACTTGTTCTGTGTTCTTTGGACAGTAACCTCTCTAATATATGTAATATAATAAAAGTAACCCAAGGGCTGTGTTAGGATGAACAGTGGTTTTCTTATGAGCCCTTGCATCTTCATGAATGAACAGCTCTCCCAGCAGACTGCTCGGCTCATTCTCACCCAAAGGCCCAATACTTTTGCCAGTAATCAAGAAAAAGCCATGCTGCCTTTAGGGAGAGGCACCTGGCAGTGGTAACATCTTGATTCTGGGTGTCTGCGTGGGGGCACACTGTGGGCAGTAGGGGGTTGGGCAGATCAGTCCTTTCGCAAAATGATGTGGAGGAGGGCACAGTTTTGTCTGCTTGAATGCCAGGTTTGGGCAGCCGGGATTCCCAGGCCTGTACGAAAACTGCCCCTTGTTCTATCATGTCTTTGAAGTTATGTGTAAATAATGTGTAATCCTTTTGTACATAATTGTGCAGGGTGATGACTGGGTGTTTTATGGCAATTTAATGCACTGGCGTTCTGATGCCACATGCTTTCACCTTCTTTTTCTGGTAATCTCACTGTGTATTTGGGAATTTGTTTCTTGTGGATCTCCTGAGCAAATACAGTTTGGGAAGATCAGAAGGACTGGGGGTGTCTGCTTATACGAAGGAAAAATGCTGTTCAGAAATACCTGGCAACAACGTGGGGCTGAATAACGTTGAGGAAATCTTGTTAGAGAACATTGTGTGTGCCTGGAAGGCAATGTGTCATTTTGAATAACTCGTTCTCAAAGCAGCGTAATTCCTGAGTACTGTCAGAAGGTCTCTGTCATTTCTCTGCAGCCGCAGAAGGACTCCGTGTCCGACAGGAGCCGCGTGGGGCGCTCACCACAGCTGCCCCCCATCCCCGCTTCTGCTGCAGCTGCGCCTTCGGAGTGGCACGAGGTGTGTTCTTCTGTCGGGGGTGCTAAAATGATTTGGGGCTCTGTGTGTCGCCAGGCTGTGGGCACATCGTGAGTTAAGGGCAGGGAGAAGTAAATAAATTGCTAATTTTAAGTACTGAGCGGATGGTTGGGTGTTTTATTAGCGCTGCTCTTGTTTAGAGGACGTTGTTACACCTTCTATTATTTGGTTATTAAGCCAGTTAAAATCGGTTCTTTACATGTATGGTTCATTATTATTCGTGGCAGAATTTTTGGATTAAAACTGTTTTCCTTCCAGACAGATTGTGATTTGTTTACGTTATTTGGCTACATCAGTACTTCATAGCAGTGCACAAAAAACCTGAATCCAAATGAGGGAACAGAAACAGCTGAGAGCTTGGCAGGTGCAGCGTTGGTCTGAATAGGCTGGTACAAATAAATCCTGTGTGCCATATTTAGTGGGAGGAGAAGAGAGGGTGGGCATCTCCTGCCACGAGCAGCCCTGCAGTTCCTCATCTGCCTCATTTGTGTCCAATGGTGTCCCTTAACAGTGAGATATTGTTTGTGAAGAAATTGGAGTAATTTCTGCTGTAAAATTTGTCATTTTGCACTTCAGTTGAAACTTGAGAATTTTAACTGCAAAATATATTCTAATTTTTTTACAAAAGGTAAAATAATTGAATGAAATGTTGCATAACCTTTTTTTATTGCCACCCAGAAATCAATTAGACATATAGGGACGTGTCGAGGTTTATACAAGACGCAGAAGCTGGTTTGGCCACTGACATTTGTGTCCCATAAGCAATACACTTTCGCCAGGTGACTTTTTCTCCTCTCCAGAGGGCAGATTTTCTCCTGGTGGATGCTTTGTCCAAGCAGTTGCCTTCAGGATCACCATGGCAGAATTTTGCATCCAGCAGTTCTGTGTAGTGGGGAAGAAAGAACACAGTTTGAAAGCAGACCTCACTGGGAGAGGAGCTGAGAATTCAGAAATCATCTTGAATTCAGTTCCTAAAGATAGCTGGGGACTTTCCTGGAACATCTCCACATCTGTGAATTAGTTTTAATTTTTGTATCAAATCATCCCTCCAAATTGTACTTCAGGGACCTATTCACATGTCTTATGTGTGCAGTGGAAGAAATGGAGCTGGACAGATCGTGTGAGTTCACAAAAGCTGATGTAAGGAATGTGGTTGCAGTGGTGTGACTGCCTCTGTCTCTGCTGGCAGGGTCAGTGTCCTCAGTGAGAACCAAAGCGCGAGGCAGGAGTGATAGTCTTGCATTATCAGATATTCCAGATTGACAAACGGCCTTAGCTGTTGTCATTAAACCTCATCATAGACTGGAAAATATTGATCTATTTGCAAGCTGCATCTGTAGGTGAAGTGGAAACCAGCTGTTTTATGCTGGTCCTCTCAGAGGGCACAAAATGCTAAAATAAGCTAAATTGCAGCTTTTAAACAC